CGTGGCATAAATTTGAAGTCGAAATTAAAAGTGAATCATAAGTTATGACGATGCAAACTCAGGCTACAAGAATTTTGGGTCACTCTGTACAAAGATACCTTCCCAAGCCTACAATCCGTGGCAGTCGAACTGTCCCACCATCAATCAGCGGAACACCAGCTCTGCGGCAGAAAACGCCAAAAATGGCGGACTTACTGCATATTCGAATGTCTGCTGGAACACAATATCAAAAGCCATTTCAAAGTTTTTACATGAATCGAAAAAAAAGTTGCAAAAATTTACCCATAAGCGATAATTCTAGACCACCAGCCACCGCATAACCTTCAACAGCAGCTATTAGTGGTTTCTTCAATTCCATGATTGAAGGTCCCTGGAACGTTATAGTATCGTTAGAATTTGATAAAAATCAATTACAAAATCGAAAAAATGTGAAATTAATAACACGAGGATTTGAACGCAGGATTACTGGCTCGGGGTATTTCCCCAATTCTCTAGTCGAGTAGATAAAAATGGTAAATAACACATTTTAGGAAAATTATACATTAAGAAGAAATCTGGCTTCGTAGTATTATTGCAAAGAAACTTTTGCTTTCCACTCTTCTGGTGGCTGAAAATATCTGGTAATCCGCTTACGCTTACCAACCATATAGCGATACTTGTGAGGGAACTGCTCATCAAAAGAAGTTGTGTCCAAATTGGAAACTTCTGAAAGGTCATATCCAGCGCAGAATGTATTGCCTAAACTCCATAATTCAGAAAAATTCCATAAAAAAGAAACAGGGTATTACCTTCTCCATATAAGATTCCGATTTTCACATCTGGATTGTTGTTGAACCGATTGAATGCAGCAACCAGCTCCTTTGCAGTTTCATGGTTGACGCAATTTTTCCTGCTAGGGCGATTGATTCCAATAAAGAGGATTGAATCATCCAGGCGAACATTCACTGAAATCAAGAAACTTCCGTGATTATTATGGTAGGTGGAAGAGCGTTACCAGCCTAGATTAGACATTTGCGCGATCAATAACAACAATGATAAGAACGCTGTGTTTACTCGTTTGACCATGGAACACCGCTGAAATACAACGGTGAATATTGGCATGCTATT